GCAAACGGCCACAGAAAATGGGGGGCAGCCGCATGGCTCAAGGAGGTACGAGCGACCTCCATGACCAGACCAATGCGGCGCTCAGCAACCCCATTCTGCTGTGGAGAGTCCGGAAGCGTGTACGACTGCTCAATGCCCTCCTGCTGACAGAAGGCCTCCAATAGGCCAGAGGAGAACTCCCCACCTCTGTCAGAGTGCAGACGCAGGACAGGGAAGTCGGAGCGGAAACGCTCACGGAGCTGGAGACGAGATCTGCGGATCTAAGGGATCAAGACATCAGGGACGTCACCCTTGGCGCGCAAGGGGAAGACCGTGGTGTAGCGCGAGAAGTCGTCAACAACAATCAGGAAGTACCTCTCCTGACCCTGACCACGGACGCGGGCTGGGCCCCACACGTCCATGTGGAGCGTCTGCAAGGGGGCAGTCGTCGGGGGAAAGGAGGAGGAGTGAGGAGCGGCGCGCTGCCGTCCCTCGACACAGGGAATACAGGGAGGAGCAGGCGAGTCGGGAAGGGGAGGGAGCACCCTGGGAAGACCAGCAACAAGGTCCCGCTGGTGCATGGCCCGAAGGCGCTGCACAGACGGGTGACCAAGGCGGTGGTGCCAAAGGACAGTCTCATGTGCCAGAGAGCGACACGAGCAGGGGGCGGACAGCTGACCTGACGCAGACGCAGACGCAGACGCAGCTACCTGAGGGGACACAGTGGTCAGTGTGTAAAGGTCCGACCCCGGCTCCCGAGTGAAGGTAGCCAGGTGGCGACCCGTCCGAGCACACGTGCAGTGTGTCACGCGCTCGTAGGCAGGGGTGAACTGGTGAACACCCCCGTCCTGGAGCGCACTACCTGCCACCAAGTTCGTAGAGAACGAGGGGAGGTAGAGACCTGACAGCGTGCCGGACGGGACCGCCGGACAAGGAAGGACAGTGGAGGAGGTCGCAATGACCGGACCCCTAGAGGGGTCAGCAAGGGAGACAGCAACTGGCCGAGCGAGGGGCTCAAGGACAGTGCGGTCACGAAAGAAAGAGCGAGAAGCACCTGAGTCCAGTGTGAAGGTGTGCAGTGCTGCAGTCGACTCAGTACCAGGGGGCACAGACGCACTAGCACCTAGGGCAGCAGCCTCACCAGGACCTGCGGGAGCGGACGCACTAGCACCTAGAGCGGCAGCCGGACTGGCCTGAATGCCCGGGTCGGGCGGAACACGCAAGTACTGAGCACCCTCTCCACTAATAGACATCGCATACATGGCAATGAGAATAGCATCAAAGTCTAAAGCCCAAATATCAACACCCCTCTTTTCCAGATCAGCCCAGCGCGGCAGCTCAGTGGCAGTAGGAAACTGGGTGCGCCACGCGTCGGTAAGGCGGGCGAAGCAGCGCTGCGTGGGGTGCGGCCTCCCACACTGCTGGCCGCGGCGGTCACCTGTGCGAATGACGTACGTGCAGGTAAAGCCACGCTGCGCATACCACTCACGGGCGGCCTGAAGCGTCGGGGCGGGCTGCTGACTCTGCCCTCCGCCAGTGCCCCCACGACCACCACCCCCTCCGCCTCCGCCCCGGCCACCTCCACCCCTGCCGCCACCACGACCACCTCCGCCTCCGCTGCCGCCTCCGCCCCTGCCACCACTCCCGCCGCTGCTGTCGCCTCCCCCACTACCGCCACTAGCCTCCTCAGCCGCGCCTCCACTCCCACCGCCTCCACCCCCACCTCCTCCGCCGCCACCCCCGCCCCTGCCCCCTTTGCCCCTGCGGCGCCCACTCGAAGCAGACGCGGTCCCGACCTTCTCAGCACCAAGGAGGTCGACAGCAGCAGCAGAGGCGACAGAGGGGAGGAGGGGGGAAGGGGAACACCCCTCGAAGAACGGGGTGCGGGGGTCGCCACGAGAGGTGCCTACAGCGACGATGCTCGCCTCAGCTGCAAGCAGTTCCTTCTCGAGGAGGGCAACAGTGAGCTCAGTGGGGGAGCGAGAGAGGAAGTGGTCCCTGACTGCGCGCAGAGAGTCAGGGAGGCGGGTGACGATGTGGTAGAGAGTGATCCAGAGCGGGGGGGGGTTGCTAGTGAGAAACTCGGCAGGCATAGCAGCGCGAAAGCGGGCCTCATTCTTAAGGTGGGTGATGAGGTCTGCGACAGTGTGAAAGGAGGCTAGGTCGGGGAACAGGTAGGGAAGAGTGAGGCGGCCTAGCGTAGCAGAAGCGGGTGAGGAGTAACGGGCAACTACAGCGGTGTAGAGGTCCCTAGCAGTCTTGCACTGGCCAAAGTGCTCGCGCTCATCTAACGGCAGGGAGTTGCGGATGGCAAAGCGAGCGTGGGCGTCACGAGTCTGCCACTGGGAGCGGGTAGTGCTGTCAGCATCAGTAGCAGGGGCAGGAGCATGGCCGAGGGCGTGGTCATACAGTGAGATGTCCTCCTTGGCAGTGAGCTGTAGGAAAAGGTGCAGGTCATCGAGCCAGGTGTCAAACTTCACTGGGCGGCCCTCAGCATCGAAAGCAAGTACGGGAGGACTGGCCATAGTGGTAGCCGTAGTAGCAGTAGGAGCAGTAGCAGTAGCAGTAGGATCAACAGGGCTGCTAGAACGGTCGACGCGGCTCGGTCGGGCGGCGCGGCTCAGTTCAGGTAGGGCGGCGCGGCTCGGTTCGGGCTGCGCGGCTGCGCGAAGCCGCTAAGAGGGGCGGGAGTGGGTCGCGGGGGCCTCTAAGCGGGGCTCGACGGGGCCGTGGGGCCGCTAAGCGGGGCGCAGCGGGGTCGAGAGACCGTGTGGTGGCGGGCGACGGGGCCGCGGGGCCTCTAAGCGGGGCGCGCACGGGGTCGACGGGGCCAGGGGGGGCTCTAAGCGGGGCGCGCGTGGGGTCGACGGGGCCAAACGGGGCCGTAAGCGGGGCGCGCGCGGGTCGACGGGGCCAAACGGGGCCACTAAGCGGGGCGCGAAGGGGTCGACGGGGCCAAACGGGGCCGTAAGCGGGGCGCGCGCGGGTCGACGGGGCCAAACGGGGCCGTAAGCGGGGCGCGCGTAGGTCGACGGGGCCAAACGGGGCCTCTAAGCGGGGTGCGGGCGGGTCGACGGGGCCAAACGGGGCCGTAAGCGGGGCGCGCGCGGGTCGACGGGGCCAAACGGGGCCTTAAGCGGGGCGCGCACGGGTCGACGGGGCCTCTAAGGCGCGACGCGCGAGTCACTAAGGGGCGGCGCGCGGGGTCGACGGGGCCTTAAGGGGCCGTACACGAGGGCGCACGAGGGCGCTGAGGGGGAGGCGCTAACGCGACGCTCCGACAGTAGATAGGTAGGTAGGTAGTCAGTGGTGGGCCCTAAGAACGGTCCTAGCGAAGGACCTGCTCTGAAACCATGTCAACAAGAAGAGACTGGAATGAATGAACTAACAGAGAAATCAGTACAAATAGCAAACCCTAGAATTGTGTACCCCATATAGGCTAACCCACTGTAGCCTAACAAACCCAACATATATAATGTTTGACACCCCTCCCTCCAAGCCCTTCCCTCGCAATTTCCCTCCCTGTCCCCCCTCTCCCCCGGCCATTACCCTTGCAGTTTCTTGTTGAGAATACTAGGCAAGAATGAGTGAACTAGAAAGAGTTGGGATACAAAATAGGAACCCTAGAATGTGTTGTACCCCATGTAAGCTACCCCAATACAGCCTACAATCAACAACGAGCATTATAGTTTGACACACCCCCATAGGCAAAGTGGGGGAGAACAAGTGGTCACAAGACCAATCAAAACGAACAACACAAGCTCAGGGTGGATCATAAGGTCACCACACATTTCGAGCACAAGCAAAAGGCCACATGGCCAGTTCACATGCATAGTTATATAAGAGAGAGCAAACAGTACAGTGATCACTACCTAGCAAGTGTAAGCATGCAGGTATATATAAAGATCACAGTACAAGCAAAGTCAAGCAGTGAGCAAGTGAGAGAACATAGGCACGAGGCCTTAAGCAGTGCAGTGACGCTGATGATCACTAGGCGGAAGTGCCTTGGCGAACACATAGGCAGTGCTGGCCCGCGTGTCCACGTAAAAAAGACGAAGCTGGCCACGCTGCTGCAGCTCTCGAGCAAGGAAGTAACGCAGAGCGATGTGCTTCGTTCTATGCTCCAGTCTGTGCTCCTGACACAAGGCGATGGCAGCCTTGTTGTCGACGTACAAAACTGGAGGAGAACGAGGCCGCTCTCCCAAGTCAGTCAACAGTGGAGTAGATCTCAGCCTCACAACTGGAGCTGAGAACAGAATAAGAACGGGTAGCTCGCCAAGAGACAGAACCGGTGTCCAGTGAGGACAACGTCACCCCGTCCTCCAAGCACCAGCCCCATGCCTGATGTACTGCACAAGTAGCGCAGCACCCTCAAAGTGCTCTCGCCGGTGTCTCCCAGGCGCAACGTAGCGAGCTAGGATGCTAAGAAGGTACGCAAGGTCGGGTCGAGTGCAGGTCATCAGGTACATGAGGCAGCCCACAAGCTCTGGATACGGGCCACTCGGCTCTACGGACTCGTCCGAAGGTGGAGCTGAGAGTGAGTGATGTGTAGACAGAGGAGTGGACAGTGGTGAGGAGAAATGGAATTCGAAGCGCTGAAGGACCTGCTGCACCATGTGTGACTGAGTCAGGGTAATGGTGCGGCGTGCTCTGTCCCGGGTGATCTGCAAGCCAAGGTAGCTGCGCAGCTCACCCAGGTCTGTGCACGTGTGTCTCTTCTGCAGCTGTGACTTTACAACGGCGAGTGCCTGAGTGTCAGCAGTGGCAAAGACCAAGTCGTCGACGTACACGAGGATGTAGAACGGCGGCAGAGAGGTGTCGGTGCGAAGAAACACCTACGGGTCAGCAATGGAAGGAGTAAACTCAAGAGCCGCAAGTGTCGTTCTCAGTGTGTCGTGCCACTCACGAGGCGTATGACGGAGACCGTAGACTGGCCGCCGGAGGCTCCACTGGGTACCAGGAGGGAACGACCCAGTGAAGCCTGGTGGGCGGCGCAGCCAGATCTCCTCGTGTAGGCTGCCCTACAAGAAAGCTGTGCTGAAGTCAAGAGACTGAAGCTCGTAGTCACGCTGAGCGGCAACGTGCAGCAACACCCGAAGAGTGAAGAAGGTCTGGAAGAAGTCAACTCTTTGTTGCTGACTGAAGCCTCGTGCAACGTAACGAGCCTTGAAGACAGGCGGAGAACCCGGTGGCCGCTTCACCCTGAAAATCCACATGCCATCGACTATGTTCGCCCCAAGAGGGGGAACCTCGTCGACGTAGGTGCCTGTGGACTTCGAGGATGCCATCTCTGCGTCCATGGCTGTCTGCCACTGAGAGAAGTAGGGACCCGAGATCGCCTCTGCGTAAGAGCGCGGGGTCGGGATGTCCAGTGCATCCGGGTCTCCCTCAGGTGCAAGCAGCCAGGCCACGAGATGAGGTACAGCAGCCGCAAGAGAGTCAAAGTCCTCTTGCCTGTCCTCAAGGACGTCCGTGCCAAGAGCACACTCACCCCGGACGGACGGAGGACAGATAGACTCAGACTCAGCAACAAGACTGGCGGCGTAGTCGAGACGACAAGCAGCAGCAAAGTCCACAAGCTCAGCAACTAAGGCAGACGCAACAGTAGACTCAAACGACGGGTCAGTGACAACAGTAGCCAGAAGACGCGTGACTGTGGGGCTAGCAGCACGAACACGGTCAGACCCAGGCTCAGGAAGCTCAGGAAGAGAGGACGCTGGAGGAGATGGCAGCGGGATGCGTTGTGGAGCAAAGGAAGGACGAAGTGACGTAGTGTGAGTGCCTGGCACAGGAGGAGGACGCGGACGCGGGACTCAACGAGCGCTGCGAACAGCGCGAACAGGGGAGACAGGACGAGAGGCAGGCTCACGACGCTCTCTAAGAGAGATCGGCTGCTCAGTGTAACGAGACGGGGCAGGCAGCGGCGAGCCAGGAGGAAGGGCAGTGGACGAAGGAAGACTAAGAACCTTGCGGAGTACCGACTCGGGCGGAAGCTCAGACAGCTGCGGCGGCGGCACGAAAAACGGTCGCTGCTGCAGAGGGCCTCTAACTCCAGCATCTCCAGCAGCAGTGCCTCCAGCTCCAGCGCCTCCAGCTCTAGCGCCTCCAGCTCCAGCGCTTCCAGCTTGATCACCTCCAGCGTCAGCGCCTCCAGCTCCAGCACCTCCAGCTCGAGTGCCTCCAGCTCCGGCGCCTCCAACTCCAGTGCCGCCAGCTCCAGCGCCTCCAGCTCCAGCACCTCCAGCTCCAGCACCTCCAGCTCCAGCACCTCCAGCTCTAGTGCCTCCAGCTCCAGCGCCTCCAGCTCCAGCGCCTCCAGCTCCAGCACCTCCAGTGGTAGCACCTCCGGCTCCAACACCTCCAGCTCCAGCGCCTCCAGCTCTAGCGCCTCCAGCTCCAGCGCCTCCAGCTCCAGCGCCTCCAGCTCCAGCAGCGCGACTTCTAAGGCGGGTGCGCTGAGCAAACCACTCGCGCAGCTGCTGTGGTGAGAGGGGCTCGCGCTGGCGAGTTCGCTTCGGCGTGGCACTTGGAAGACCACTAGCAGACGCAGTACCACCAGGCTCAGCACCCCCAGAAGCAGCACCCCCAGGCTCAGCACCCCCAGGCTCAGCACCCCTAGGCTCCGCACGCTGAGTCTCCGTACCCACAGGCTCAGCACCCCGAGGCTCCGCACGCTCAGGTTCGACACCCCAAGGCTCCGCACCCGCAGGCTCAGCACCCCCAGACGCAGTACCCCGAGCAGCACCACCCCCAGCAGCACCTGGGTCACCAGCGGCGCGACTCCGAAGGCGTGTGCGACAAGTAAACCACCCACGCAGCTGCTGAGGTGAGAGAGGCTCCCGCTGGCCAGACCGCTGCTGCGAGGCACTCGGAGGACCTCCAGCAGACGCAGCAATACCAGGCACAGGACCCCCAGACTTAGCACCAGCAAGCTCAGCACCCCCAGACGCAGCACCCCTAGGCTCAGCACCCCCAGGCTCCGCACCCGCAGGCTCAGCACCCCCAGGCTCCACACGCTCAGGCTCAACACCCCCAGACGCAGCACCCCGAGCAGGACCACCCCCAGCAGCACCTGAGTCACTAGTGACCTCGACAGGCTCAGCCAAGGGAAGTGGGTCTACCTGAGAGACACCTGAAGGAGCAGGACCAAGAGAGGGGAGGGGGTCTACCGGAGGGGGACCTGGAGCGAGGAAGAGCGGCGAGGGGGGGGGGGGGGGGGAGAGGGGCAGTAAGGTAGGGGAAGAGACGGTAAAAGGGAACCGACTCGTCAAACGTGACGTCCTGAGAGGGGAAGACACGGCGCGAGGTGGGGTGGTAAAACTGCCAGCCAGGCGCGTCAAGGGGAAAGCCAAGGAAGACGCAGGGAATGGCGCGAGAGGAGAGCTTGTCCGCGGTGGTATTGCGGACAAAGGCACGAGAGCCTCAGACCCGGAATCACAGCCGACGCATCGCCAATCTCCCCCGTCCAACGCAGTTCGACACCCCGGCAAGGAGACTCGGGGCCAGAGGTTGAGCTGATGCGCAGCGTACCGGACCGCAAACGGCCACAGAAAATGGGGAGCAGCCGCATGGATCATGGAGGTACGAGCGACCTTCATGACTAAGCCAATGCGGCGCTCAGCAACCCCATTCTGCTGCGGAGAGGCCGGAAGCGTGAACGACTGGAGGATGCCCTCCCCCTGACAAAAGTCCCGTAGGAGGTCAGAGGAGAACTCACCACCTCTGTCAGAGTGCAGACGCAGGACAGGGAAGTCCGTGCGGAACCGCTCGCAGAGCTGGAGACGAACAGCGCGGATCCAGGGGATCAAAACAGCAGGGACCTCACCCTTGCTGCGCAAGGGGAAGACCGTGGTGTAACGCGAGTAGTCATCAACAACCAGCAGAAAGTACCGCTCGCGGCCCTGTCCCTGGACGCGGGCTGGGCCCCACACGTCCATGTGGAGAGTCTGCAAGGGAGCAGTCATCGGGGGAAACGAGGAGGAGTGAGGAGCGGCGCGCTGCCGCCCCTCAACGCAAGGAATGCAGGGCGGGGCAGGCGAGGGTGGGAGGGAAGGCAGAGACCTGGGAAGACCAGAGACCAAGAGGCAAGAGTGCATGCCACGGAGGTGTGGCAGGGAGGGGTAACCAAGGCGGTGGTGCCAAAGGAGGGTCTGGTGTGACAGGCGGCGACACTCACAGGAGGGTGCTACCTGACCGGATGTAGTCACCTGAGCAGACGCAGCGACCTGAGGCGGCGCAGTAGTCAGTGTGTACAGGCTCGACCCAAGCCGACGGGTGAACGTGGCCAGTCCGGGAGCACGTGCAGATCACCAGACGCTGCCCTCCAGGGGTAAAGGTGTCAACCCCTACATCCTGAAGGACGGCGTTACTCACCAAGTTTGTCGAGAACGAGGAGAGATGGAGACCTGATAGTGAACCGGACGGAACTGCCGGACACGGGAGAACAGTGGAGGCACATGCAAGAACTGGGCCCCCAGAGGGGTCAGCCAGTGAGACTGCAACGGCTCTAGGGAGTGACTGTGGTACTGTCGCGAAAGAAGCAGCGAGAAGCACCTGAGTCAAGTGTGAAGGTGTCAAAGGCCTCAGCAGGCACAGTACCAGAGAGAGCAGACTCACTAGCACCTAGAGCAGCAGCCTCTATACCTGGGTCGGGCGGCACACACAGGTAACAGTCACCCTCAGTACCAATAGTCAAAGCAGATATGGCAGTAAGGATAGCGTCAAAGTCTACAGTAAATATATCCACGCTGCGTTGAATGAGCTCTAGCCAGTAGGGGAGCTCAGCCTCGTCGCCAAACTCTGCGCGCCAGGCGTCGCTCAGATAGGCGAAGCAGCGGGACTGTGTGTGGCCAACTGTCCCGCAAGTCTGACCAGCCCGAGCACCTGTGCGAATGACGTACGGGCAGCGAGCAGTACTCCGAGACGTCCCTTGCTGAACGTACCACTCACGAAGCTGCTGGGGCGTAAGGGTCTCGGGCGGACGCCGCTGCACCTGCACCTGGCCACCGCCAGCCCTAGCGCCGCCAGCTCCAGCGCCTCCACCTCCAGTGCTTCCAACTCCAGCAGCGCCACTCAGAAGGCGGTTGCGCCTAGCATACCACTCGCGCAGCTGCTGGGGCGTAAGGGTCTCGCGCGGACGCCGCTGCAGCTGCACCTGGCTACCGCCAGAAACTCCCCACTGAACAGCTCCACCGCGACTGCCACTACGGCTGCTGCCACCACTCTCACTGCTGCCACCACTCTCACTGTTGCCACCACCGCCGCCACCCATCCCTCTGCTACCACAAAGAAAACTCATAGTGGGCAAACCGAGGAGGCGTGCGACCAGCAGGGCAGCACTCAGGGAAGTCAAGGCGGCGAGGAGGCACTAGGGTAGCGTGTAGGGTAGGGCAGGGCGGCGTACGGCCAGAGAAGGGCGGTGCGCGACCAAGTAGGGCGGCGTGATGGCAAGGGCTAGTGCGGGCTGCAGGGGCGAGCGCGGCTGCAGGGGCGAGTGCGGGCTGCAGGGGCGAGCGCGGCTGCAGGGGCGAGCGCGGGCTGCAGGGGCGAGTGCGGGCTATAGGGGCGAGCGTGGGCTGCAGGGGCGAGCGCGGTTGCAGGGGCGAGCGCGGTCTGCAGGAGCGAGCGCAGCTGCAGGGGTGAGTGCGAGCTGCAGGGGCGAGCGCGGGCGGGCTGGGGCAGCCCGTACGGGCGACGCGACGAGCCAGGGCACGGCTTACGGGCGATGCGGCGGGCTGGAGCAGCTCGCACGAGCGACGTGACAGGCTGGGGCAGCCCGCATGGGCGACGCGACTGGCCAGGGCAGGGCGTACGGGCGACATGGCGGGCTGGAGCAGCGCGCACAAGCAACGCAACGCGCGACAGGGCAGGGCGTGCGCGGAACAGGGCAGGGCGAGTGGGCACGGAAGGCCAGGCACGCGGGCAGGGCAGAGGCAAACGCGCGGGCAGGGCAAGGCCAGGCGTGTGGGTAGAGCAGAGGCAGCGCGAGAGCTGCAGGGGCGGCGCACGGGGCAGGGGAGGCAGCGCGAGGGCTGCAGTGGCGGCGCGCGGGGCCGCAGAGGCAGCGGGAGGGCAGCAGGGAGCTGCGCGCGGGGCTGCAGAGGTAGCGCGCGTGCTATACGGGCGACGCGCGGGTCTGCAGACAGGCGGCGCGCACGTGCGGTTCTGGGCAGGGCAGTGGGGCGTGGGGTAGCACGGTAACCGCAGTCGGTCACTAAGCAGATGGTGGGCCCGGAAAAAAAACGGTCCTACGGACCTATTGCTCTGATACCATTTGAGAATACTAGGCAAGAATGAGTGAACTAGAAAGAGCTGGGATACAAAATAGGAACCTTAGAATGTGTTGTACCCCATGTAAGCTACCCCACTACAGCCTGCAACCAACAACGAGCATTATAGTTTTTCATTTCTCTCCCCATCCATCCCCCTGCCCCTATTCCCGCAATTTTTCTCACCACTATTTCCCGCCGACACTAACTTGCATTGCAGCCTCGATGATTGTGTCAAATGTTGTAGCTCTTACCGTAAACGCCCGGATATAAGACAGTGTTGAATAGTAGACAGGGGTTGTCTACTATACGGGTGTCTCTTATAAACAGGCTAGCCTCATTATAAGACACCTATTTGTGTGTACGAGATAAGACATATATGTCTTATAATCGAAACTTCAATATATTATAGCGAAAGTTGAAATAACGCGTACATTTTTACCCTTGCGAAGCGCGAATTTCTCCACGCGCTGACCCAGGACCTACCTAATTTGCCTCTGCAGGTGTTCTCCATGACGTGGCGTCCCGGGCAGTGGTTGCCGAAGTGGCACCCTCGCAACATCCACACTCATTATGAGGAACTCTTTTTCAAGAAGTACGGAAAATATTTCTAAGTAGTTTAAAAAGTTTCCATTTATAAGACTTATAAGACACCCTAAACCATCCCGTTTACAAGATAACTCAAGCATTTTTGCCCGTGTACGAGATAAGACATATATGTCTTATATCCGGGCGATGACGGTAGTGATGTGTGTCACATGGGGTATTGAAGTTAGGGTTAGGTTTATGTACCCCAACCAACCTCAGTCAATGCATCATTCAGTTCTTGACATGGTATCACCTAGGTTAGGATCCTGTAGGATCCCGTTCCTCTCGATCGCGCCCGTAGCGCCCGAGCCTGTCCCGTACCCTAGTGTTAGTCACGCTCGTACCGTACCCTAGCGCCCGCTACGCCTGCCGTTTGCGTCGCGCCCGCTTTTCTCGTCGTGTTCCCCCTCCCCCCCCACCCCCCTTTGCCCGTCCCGTCCGTCGTGTCCCGCCTGTCCGCCGCGTCGCGCCCCTCCCTGCCCGTCCCCTCTGTTGCGTCGCGCCTGTTCCCCGCGTCGCGCCCGTCCCTGCCCATCCCGTTTGTCACATCGCGCCTGTCCGCCGCGTCGCGCCCGTCTTGCCCGTCCCGTCGCGTCGTGTCGCGTGCGGTGCGCCTGCCCGTCCCGCCGCGCCGCGCTGCCCCGTCCCGTTCTGCTGCCCTGCTACGCCGCGCCGTGCCGCGCCCGTCCCGTTCTGCCGCGCCGCGCCCATTGCGCCGCGCCCGTCCCGTCCTGCCGCGTCGCGCTGCGCCCGTCCTGTCCCGTCGCGTCGCCCTACCCTACCGTCCCGCAATGCCCTCAGCCTCAAGCACTGCCTGTCACGCCCTAATCAGGCCCTTGCAGGAGTTCCCACTTCTTTGTTTCCGCTATGGCGACCCCTAGGTGTCAAAATATGTTGTGTAGGCTATAGTGGGGTAGCCTATAAGGGGTACAACCAAATAAGGGTTAGCCATATTTGTACCTCATTCCTGCCTAGTGCATTCATTCTTCTTGCTAGTTTCTAACATGGTTTCAGGGCAGTAGGTCTGTAGGACCGGTTTTTTTTTCGTGCCCACCATCAGCTTAGTGACCGACTGCGGTTACCGCGCTACCCCACGCCCTGCCCTGCCATGTGCCGCTCGCGAGCGCCGCCCCGTGCAGCCCGCGCGCCTCCTGTCTGCAGCCCCGCACGCCGCCCTTGCAGCCCGCGCGCTGCCCTCGCAGCCCCGCACGCCGCCCTCGCAGCCCGCCCGCTGCCCTCGCAGCCCGCCCGCTGCCTCTGCAGACCCGCGCGCCGCCCCTGCAGCCCGCGCGCTGCCCCTGCAGCCCCGCGCGCCGCCCCTGCAGCCCTCGCGCTGCCTCTGCAGCCCCGCGCGCCGGTTCTGCAGCCCGCGCACAGCCATCTGCAGCCCCGCGCGTCGCCCTTGCAACCCTCGCGCTGCCTCTGCCCTGCCCGCGCGCCTAGCCCTGCCCTGCCCGCGCGCCCTGCCCTGCCCTGCGCACGCATTGCCCTGCCGCAGACCGCCCTGCCAGCCGCGTGCCGCCCCTGCCTGCACGCGCGCCGCTCCTGCTCACCCGCGCGCCGCCCCTCGCAAAGGTGGTGAATATCCGGAACATCCCGGAAAGTCAAGTAAGCCTTTAGAACCGGGTGCCCCTGTAGCGAGTCAGCGGCCACGTATGTGTCGTCTTCACTATGCGATCCTTCCAGCGCAGCAGGAAGATCACGTTGCATTCGACAGCTGTCAGATCAACGAGACAATTCAAATTCTTCTAGGGCTCAAGCGTGGGTTCTGCCACACGTCGAACAAATGGCGCGATGTTAGGCCGTGCGACGTTGGGCGACTGTGGTGCCTCGTAATGACGCAGAAGGCTGAAGTGGAATGCGTCATGAATTTTCCAGTCGTCGGGAAGCAGCAGCTTGGCGGCGACAGGTGTTACCATCTAGAGGATGCGAATGGACCCACGTAGCAGGGGTGGAGTTTCGCAGGCTTGGGCAGGCGAAGATTTTTTGTGTCCAGAAGCACCACTTGTCCCGGACGGATGGGTAAGTTCCAACGATGCTTGTTCGCATTGCGGCTGGCAGCGGTATTAGCCCTTCTAATAAACTCCGCTGCTTTATTGCGGGCTGCTTGAAGTTCCATGACGAACTGCTGCGATTCCGGTACCGGGTTGTCGAGGGTCGTTGATGAGGACCACGGGGTCTATTCTGTAATTCAGGTAAAATGGCGACTATTTGGTCGTGGCAGAGAGTGTGTTGTTATACGCAAACTCCAGCATCGAGGGTGAGTCTTCCCACTTCATCAGGTCAGGGCAATTGGTGCGAATCAGCTGCTCCATGGTCTGGTTTGTCCTTTCGGTCTCGCTGTCGGTTTGCGGGTGGTAAGACGACGAAAACTGCAGGCGGGTCCTGTACTGTGGCCACGTCTCCTGCCAGAATTTCGACGTAAATTTCGGGTCTCGATCGCTGATGATCGCCGAAGGTAACCCGTGTAGGCGTACGACGTGGAGATGAATAGCTTCGCTATATCTTCGGCTGTGATCGTCGTGCGGCATGGTGCGAAATGCGCCATTTTTGTTAAACAGTCAACGACGACCAGTACCGAGTTGTTGCCACTTGCGCCAACTGGGAGCCCTACGACGAAATCCATCGTCGCGTGTTGCCACGGTCGTTCATGTGGCTCGAGGGGCTGCATTAATTTGGCCGGCCGTTGTCGTGATGACTTCATAGCTTGGCAGCTCGGACATGTTGTCACGCAGCGCTGCACGTCTGTCACCATGTCTAACCAATAGTAATTTCGCTGCTGCAGCTTCAGTGTTTTGTCGGTGCCGAAATGCCCGGAAAGGTTGGAGTCGTGAACCTCCTGTGTCAGCAACTCCTGTAAGGGCTGGTATGCGGGTACCCATATCCACTTCGTACCGGCTTTTTGGTAATATTTCCCGTGTTGCGTTGTAGCCCGTCGGTGTAAATTCTTGAATAACCTGACATTCGTGTAGTCGTGAGTGAATAGTCCCGTCAAAATCGGGTTGGTGCGGGCGACAAGAACTGCTTCGGTCTGCATGGATGGGCGAGTCAAGGCGTTGGCGATATTGTTGGCGCCTTTCTTGTACATGATGGTGTAGCAAAAATTGGACTCCATGTAGTCCAACCACCTAATTTGTCGCGGATTGAGTGTCGGTTGTGTGCGCATATACTACGGCGATTTTTGGTCAGTTTGGATTGTCACGTCGTCTCCCATTAAATACCAGCGCCAGGTTCGGAATGCATGGACGATAACCAACATCTCCTTGTCATCGACTGGGTAGTTGCGCTCGGGTGGCTGCATTTTGCGTGACTCGTATGTGATGGGTTGCAACCTCTTGCCGAAATCCTGTAGAAGGACGACCTCAATGGCAAAATCGTTGGCGTCCGTGATGACTTCGAACGGTCGAGATGGGTCGGCGAGGCGGAGTACCGGGGGTGAATTCAAAATGTTTCTGAGTTTGTCGAATTCGGACTCCTCTCTTTCCCCACACTGAAAGTAAGTGTCCTTAAGCAGCAGGTCGGTTAGAGGTTTGGTAACCCCCGCCATATTGGATACAAAACGACAGACGTAATTCACGAAACCCAGGAAACTCTCTAGCTCGGTGACGTTGGTCGGCGGCTTCCACTTAGCGATAGCGTCCACTTTGCGAGGAATTCCCTCTCCCGAAACCACGTGCCCGAGGAACTCCAACCCTGGCGAACTCGCACTTAGAGCCCTTCGTAATGAGTCGGTTCTGCTGTAAGCGCCGGAACACTTCCTCAAAGTCCTTTAAATGCTCTTCTTTTGTCTTGCTGTACACCAGGATGTCCGAGATAAATGATTTTTTTCGAAAGTGTGTAACACTTTCTAAAAATGCGTATTGTGAAAGCGCAGCTGCCTGTAACGAAGCAAAGCAACGGTGAATTACAATTCGCCGAGTATATAACGAGGGTTGGAGGCCATTCGGCCTCCACCCACGACTTCATTTTGAAACTTTGCAGTTCCACTCCCCACCCACCCACCTTAGCTGTATATTTGATAATCCATAGTTGGACGAAAATGTTGTATTACTGCACTTGTAATGAAGCCCATTGCCCTTGCAAGAACAGAAAGCAAGCTTTTTTTTTTTTTTTTTTTTTTTTTTTTTTTTTTTTTTTTTTTTTTCAGCATGTCCCTGAAGACCCTGTTTATCGTCAATCAGAACGTCGAGGGCGCATTGATCAGTCCGAACGGCATCACTGAATATTCTTAACTGCCGTAGCGTGTGCGAAAAGCACTCTTCGGGCAGTCTTTGGCGAACACGCGAATTTGGTGGTAGCCTCCTCGCAAGTCGATCTTTGAGAAGAAGCGAGCCACGCTAAGTTGGTCCAACAGGTCGTCCACTCGCAGAATCGGGTAACGCAACTTTATCGTAACCCGATTTAGCACCCGATAATCAATGCACATGCGTAGGCCCCCGTCCTTCTTCAGCGTGAACAGTATTGGTGCTGCGAACAGCGACGTGCTCCGCCGGAAAAAAAAAAACCTTTGGTGAGAAGATAATCCAGCTGGCTTCGCAACTCGTCGAGCTCCGGTTGGCTGAGCCGCCACTGCATCCGAACATTAGGTTGCCTTCCAGGCACCAGCTGTATCATGTGATCTTCTAGACGCTGAGGTGGCAGGCCGTCGGGCAGGTCATCAATGAAAATTTCGGGATATTGTACAAGTGTACAGCATAGCCTCACGCCCCCTTGCTGATCGCTCGCCGTATGGTGACGACGTTGACACGTATCATCACAGGTCCGGGTTTGTCCATTTTGGAAGTGTCGTGTACCCTGTATTTCCTCGCACGGTGCACGCCCTTGTCGCCCCTGCGGTGTTCCATCCACCAACCTTGCGTCAATCTCTGGCAGACACTTGTTCAGCTTCACCCCAATTTTTTTTGCTGTCGCTTGGTTGACAATGTCAAACATTATATATGTTTGGTTTGTTAGGCTACAGTGGGTTAGCCTGTATGGGGTACACAATTCTAGGGTTAGCTATTTGTACTGATTTCTCTGTTAGTTCAACCATTCCAGTCTCGTAATCTTGACATGGTTTCAGAGCAGGTCCTTCCCTAGGACCGTTTTTAAGGGCCCACCTAACTACCTACATACCTATCAAGCGCCCCTAGTGCGCCTCCTATTGCGCCCCTAGTGCGCCTCCTATTGCGCCCCTAGTGCGCTATCCCTTTTTTTTTACCGCGCGCGATCTGCTAGCCGCCCGCGCGCGGCCTATTTCGTGCGCGCGACAAGCCAGCAGCCCGCGCGCGGCCGTTTTTTCGCGCGCGCCTAGCTAGCCGCCGGCGCGCGCGGCTCTTTTTTCTTCGAGCGCGGCCCGTCGCGCTGCTCCGTGCTGCGCTCGACCCCCCCGCGCCTTCGTCGCCGCGGTCGGGCCTTCAGCAACAGCCGCGGCAGAGACTGCAGTCGCGGCCGTCGCAACTGCTGCAGCAGCCGCCGCCGCCTCCCCTGCCGCGGCCGCCGCTGCATCTACAGCAGCTGCAGCCGCCACATCTACTGCAACAGCCGCCGCTGCAGCTACAGCAGCAGCAGCCGCCGCATCTTCTGCAGCAGCCGCCGCTGCATCCACAGCAGCAGCAGCCGCCGCTGCATCTCCAGCAGCAGCAGCCGCCGCGCCTTCTGCAGCAGCCGCCGCTGCATCTACAGCGGCAGCAGCTGCCGCATCATCTACAGCAGCGGCCGCCGCCGCATCTACGGCAGCAGCAGCCGCCGCAATCTACAGCAGCGGCCGCCGCAGCTACAGCAGAATCAGCCGCCGCTGCCTCTGCAGCAGCAGCCGCCGCCGACCCAGCAGCAGCAGCCGTAGCCGAACCTGCAGCATCTGCTGCCGCTGTCTCGACTGCCCCGGCCTTGCCTTGCCCTGCTGCTACTGTCACTGCCACGTTTATTACTTACTCTTCCTCCTCCTGCTACCATGGCTACTGCTCCTGTTCTAGCCTTCGACGCTGAGGGCCGCCCAGTGAAATTTGACACCTGGCTCGATGATCTGCACCTTTTCCTACAGCTCACTGCCAAGGAAGACATTTCACTGTACGACCACGCCCTAGGCCATGCTACTGCCCCTGACTCCTCTGCTGCTAGCACACTGCGCTCCCAGTGGCAGACCCGCGACGCACACGCTCGCTTTGCTATCCGCAACTCCCTGCCGCTAGATGAGCGCGAGCACTTCGGCCAGTGCAAGACTGCTAAGGAACTGTACACAGCCGTAGTTGCTCGCTACTCCTCGCCTGCGTCTGCCACCCTAGGCCGCCTCTCCCTGCCCTACCTGTTCCCCGACCTGGCCTCCTTTCACACTGTCGCTGATCTCATCACCCACCTCAAGACTAGTGAGGCCCGTTTTCGCGCTGCCATGCCTGCCGAGTTCCTTGCTAGCAACCCCCCCCCGCTCTGGCTCACCCTCTACCACATTGTCACCCGCCTCCCTGACTCTCTGCGCACAGTCAGGGACTCCTTTCTAGCTCGCTCCCCTACTGAGCTCACCATTGCCCTCCTCGAGAAGGACCTACTTGCAGCTGAGGCGAGCATCGTCGCCGTAGGTGCCTCTCGTGGCGAGCCCCGCACCCCCTTCTTCGAGGGGTGTTCCCCTTCCCCCCTTCTCCCCTCTGTCGCCACTGCTGCTGCTGTCGACCTCCTTGGTGCTGAGAAGGTCGGGGCTGCGTCTGCTTCGAGCGGGCGCCGCAAGAGCAGGGGGGGCAAGGGTGGGGGTGGAGGCGGGGGAGGCGGGGGTGGAGACAGTGGAGGTGGCGGTGGGTCTGGAGAGGCTAGTGGCGGCAGTGGGGGTGGTGACAGCGGCGGCGGGGGTGGTGGCAGAGGCGGAGGTGGCAGCGGCGGCGGTGGCGGTCGTGGCCGTGGCAGGGGTGGAGGTGGCCGAGGCGGTGGCGGTGGCGGTGGCGGTGGCGGTGGTGGCCGTGGAGACGCTGGAGGTGGCCAGAGTCAGCAGCACGCCCCGACCCTCCAGGCCGCCCGTGAGTGGTACGCGCAGCGTGGGTACACTTGCACGTACGTCATCCGCACTGGTGACCGCACTGGCCAGCCATGTGGGAGGTCGCACCCCACGCAGCGCTGCTTCCAGCGCCTGACTGACGCGTGGCGCATCCAGTTTCCTGGGTCTACTGAGCTCCCCCGCTGGCCTGAGCTGGAAAAGAAGGGTGTTGATATCTGGGCTTTAGACTTTGATGCTATTCTCACTGCTATGTATGCGATGTCTATTAGTGGAGAGGGTGCCCAGTACTTGCGTGTTCCGCCCGACCCGGGCATTCAGGCCAGCCCAGCTGCTGCTCTAGGTGCTAGTGTGTCTGCTCCCACAGGTCCTGCTGCAGCAGCTGCCCTAGGTGCTAGTGCGTCTGTGCCCCCTGGTACTGAGTCGACTGCAGCACTGCACACCTTCACACTGGACTCAGGTGCTTCTCGCTCTTTCTTTCGTGACCGCACTGTCCTTGAGCCACTAGCTCGGCCGGTTGCTGTCTCTCTTGCTGACCCCTCTGGGGGTCCGGTCATTGCGACCTCCTCCACTACACTTCCGTGTCCAGCGGTTCCGTCCGGCACGCTCTCAGGTCTCTACCTCCCCTCGTTCTCTACGAACTTGGTGGCAGGTTGTGCGCTGCAGGACGGGGGTGTTCACCAGTTCACCCCTGCCTACGAGCGTGTGACACACTGCACGTGTGCTCGGACGGGCCGCCACCTGGCTACTTTCACTCGAGAGCCGGGGTCGGACCTGTACACACTGACCACTGAGTCCCCTCAGGTAGCTGCGTCTGCGTCTGCGTCAGGTCAGCTGTCCGCCCCCTGCTCGTGTCGCTCTCTGGCGCATGAGACTGTCCTCTGGCACCACCGCCTTGGTCACCCGTCTGTGCAGCGCCTTCGGGCCATGCACAAACGGGACCTTGTTGCTGGTCTTCCCAGGGTGCTCCCTCCCCTTCCCGACTCCCCTGCTCCTGACTGCATTCCCTGTGTCGAGGGGCGGCAGCGCGCCGCTCCTCACTCCTCCTCCTTTCCCCCGACGACTGCTCCCTTGCAGACGCTCCACATGGACGTGTGGGGCCCAGCCCGCGTCCGTGGTCAGGGTCAGGAGAGGTACTTCCTGATAGTTGTTGACGACTACTCGCGCTACACCACAGTCTTCCCCTTGCGCGCCAAGGGTGACGTCCCTGGTGTTTTGATCCCCTGGATCAGTCGAGCCCGTCTCCAGCTAGGCAAGCGCTTTCACTCGGACTTTCCTGTCCTGCGCTTGCACTCTGACAGAGGTGGTGAGTTCGCCTCCGACCTCTTGGCAGCCTACTGTGCTGAGCACGGTATTGAGCAGTCGTTCACGCTTCCGGCCTCTCCGCAGCAGAATGGGGTCGCTGAGCGCCGCATTGGCCTAGTCATGGAGGTCGCTCGTACCTCCCTGACCCATGCGGCTGCTCCCCACTTTCTGTGGCCGTTTGCGGTCCGATACGCTGCGCATCAGCTCAACCTCTGGCCCCGTGTCTCCTTGCCGGAGACTTCCCCGACTCTGCGGTGGACGGGAGAGGTTGGCGATGCGTCGCGTTTCCGGATCTGGGGATCTCGAGCTTTTGTCCGCGACACGTCCGCGGACAAGCTCTCGCGTCGCGCCGTTCCCTGTGTCTTTCTTGGCTTTGTGCCTGACGCGCCTGGATGGCAGTTTTACCACGTCACCTCGCGCCGGGTTCTGGCCTCTCAGGACGTCACTTTTGACGAGTCCGTCCCCTTCTACCGCCTCTTCCCCTACCGCACTGCCCCGCTCCCCCCCCCCGCCTCTCTTCCTCGCTCCAGGTGCTGAGGTACCAGACCCCCTCCCCCCTCAGGGTGCCGCTCCCTCAGGTGTGTCCCAGGTAGACCCGGGTGAGCCTGTCGAGGTAGCTGTTGACTCGCGTCCTGCGTCTGGGGGTGCTGAGCCTGGGGGTGCTGAGTCTGGGGGTGCTGAGTCTGGGGGTGCAGAGCCTGGACGTGCGGAGCCTGGGGGTGCTGAGCCTGGAGGTGCGGAGCCTGGAGGTGCGGAGCCTGGTGGTGCTGAGTCTGGGGCTGCTGAGTCTGGGGGTGCTGAGTCTTCGGGTGCTGAGCCTGAGCGTACTACACCTGGAGGAGCCCTCTCCTCCCAGCAGCTGCAGGAGAGGTACCTCGAGTACTGCCGCCTCCGGAGAGGTGCTTCTGGAGCTCGTCCCAGTACTTCCCCTCCTACCCAGGAGCTCCCCCCCATTCAGGTGATCCGAGAGTGGTACACACGGCGCTGCAGTCTTCGGAGTGGTGCTCCTGGTGCAGCGGACCCGAGCGGTGGCGCTGTTGCTGGTGCTGAGGACCCGGACGCTGGAGCTGCTGCTGGTGCTGAGGACCCGGGCGTTGGAGCTGCTGTTGGTGCTGAGGACCCGACCGGCGGCGCTACTGCTGGTACTGCGGCGCTACCGTCTCCTCCTGCGTCATCTCTTCCTACTCTTCCTGACCCGGAGTCTGACTCCCGTCGTGCGGCCAGTCCCACTGTTACGCGTCTCCTCGCTACAGTTGTCACTGACCCGACCTTTGAGTCCTCTGCTGCGTCTGCTCTGGTCGCTGAGCTGGTTGACTTTGCTGCTCGCTGTCGCTTAGACTACGCTGCCAGCCTTGTCGCTGAGTCTGAGTCTGAGTCTGCCTGTCCTCCGTCCGTCGGGGGTGAGTGTGCTCTTGGCACGGACGTCCTTGAGGACAGACAGGAGGAGTTCCAGTGCTTTGCTGCTGCTTTGCCCCATCTCGTGTCCATGCTTGTTGCCCCTGAGGGAGACCCGGATGCACCAGACATCCCGACCCCGCGCTCTTACGCTGAGGCGATGGCGGGTCCCTACTCCTCTCAGTGGCAGACAGCCATGGACGCAGAGATGGCTTCCTGGAAGTCCACAGGCACCTACGTCGACGACGTTCCCCCTCCTGGGGCGAACATCGTCAGTGGCATGTGGATTTTCAGGGTGAAGCGGCCGCCGGGTTCTCCTCCTGTCTTCAAGGCACGCTACGTGGCTCGAGGCTTCAGTCAGCGAGAGGGAGTCGACTTCTTCCAGACCTTCTCCCCCACCCCGAAGATGACCACTCTTCGGGTGCTGCTGCACATAGCCGCTCACCGCGACTACGAGCTTCACTCACTTGACTTCAGCACTGCTTTCTTGCAGGGCAGCCTGCACGAGGAGATCTGGTTGCGCCGCCCTCCTGGCTTCACTGGGTCGGTTCCTCCTGGCACCCAGTGGAGGCTTCAGCGGCCGGTCTACGGTCTCCGCCAGGCGCCACGTGAGTGGCACGACACACTGAGGACGACGCTTGCGGCTCTTGGGTTCGCTCCCTCTACTGCTGACCCGTCGCTGTTTCTACGCACCGACACCTCGCTGCCGCCGTTCTACATCCTCGTGTACGTTGACGACTTGGTCTTTGCCACAGCTGACACAGCGGCACTCGCCCACGTGAAGTCGGAGCTGCAGAGGAGACACACGTGCACAGACCTGGGTGAGCTGACAAGCTATCTTGGCTTGCGGATCACCCGGGACAGAGCACGGCGCACCATCACCTTGACTCAGTCACACATGGTGCAGCAGGTTCTCCAGCGCTTCCGCTTCACGTACTCCTCGCCTCAGTCCACTCCTCTGCCTACCGGTCACTCGCTCTCAGCTCTGCCTTCGGATGAGTCCGTAGAGCCGAGTGGCCCGTATCCAGAGCTTGTGGGCTGCCTCATGTACCTGATGACCTGCACTCGACCTGACCTTGCATACCCCCTTAGCATCTTAGCACGCTATGTCGCTCCTGGCCGTCACAGGAAGGAGCACATGGATGCTGCTAAGAGGGTGTTGCGCTACTTGTGCAGTACGTCGGGCATGGGGCTTGTGTTAAACTATATTATGCTTGTAGGCTGTAGTGGGGTAGCCAATATGGGGTACAACCCCAACTAGGGTTTGCTACTTGTACCCAATTCTTCCATTCAATGCACCATTCTTGCCTAGTGATTCTGATATGGTATTCAGAGCAGGAGGTCCCTAGGACCTACCGATCGTTTTTTTTTAGGGCCCACCACCGCTCGCATGCGGTTACCACGCTACCCCGTTCCCTAGCCTCGTAGCGCCCTCGTGCGCCCTCGTTAGCGCCCTCGCGCGCCCTCTCGTTAGCGCCCTCGCGCGCCCCTTTGCTAGCGCCCTCGCGCGCCCCTTGCTAGCGCCCTCGCGCGCCCCTTACTAGCGCCCTCGCGCGCCCCTCGCCGAGCCGCCCGCTCGCAGCCCGCCCGCCCGCTCGCTGCCCGCTTCGCGGCCCGCTCGCTACGCAGCCCGCCCGCCCGCTCGCTGCCCGCTTCGCGGCCCGCCCGCTTAGCAGCCCGCCCGCTCGCTGCCCGCTCGCTCGCTGCCCGCTTCGCGGCCCGCCCGCTTCGCAGCCCGCTCGCTCGCTGCCCGCTTCGCGGCCCGCCACTTCGCAGCCCGCCCGCCCGCTCGCTGCCCGCTTCGCGGCCCGCCCGCCTCGCAGCCCGCTCGCCCCGCTGCCCGCTTCGCGGCCCGCCCACTTCGCAGCCCGCCCGCCCGCTCGCT